CGAGATCCACCGGTTTTGACACCGACAATGAGGGTGACGATGATGCCTGTAACACCCACAATGCGGCTATATCTCTCACGTGTCGGGGCACGACTTAGAGGCATAGCCGCATGATAGTTTTGTCGCAAGAGGGGTAATCTTCACACAATCCCATGTACTGAATAGAAAGGGATAAAGAGTTCGCTTACAATCGCCACTTCACACAATACATAAATAATCCATACATCATCCAAAGTACAACCAAAGGTCTGACTAAGGAACCAAAATAAAGGAAGAAAACCCCAAATGCTAGATCCCTGATCATCCCAACTGGGCTCCACTACTGATCATCAGGAAACGAAACGTAATAACAACCCAGATCCTCGTCAAACTCCCACTTGAGTTCGGTAGCATCACCTGCACTGGTATCGTTGGAACCTGCAACTGTTTGGAAGTATCCGTGAGTCACGAGGACTCGTCAATCTCACACCCGCGAGATCAAGACTATTTAAGCTTATGGGTAGGACAAGGTAGTGAGGTGGAGCTACAACAAGCACTAAGCATATATGGTGGCTAACATACACAAATAAGAGCGAGAAGAGAAGCAACGCAACGGTCGAGAAGCTAGAAGTGATCAAGAAGTGATCCTGAAGCTACTTACATTCAAGCATAACACAAGACTGTGTTCACTTCCTGGACTCCACCGAAAAGAGACCATCACGGCTACACACGTGATTGATGCATTTTAATTAAGTCAAGTGTCAAGTTCTCTACAACCGGATATTAACAAATTCCCATCTGCCACATAACCGTGGGCACGGCTCTCGAAAGTTTATACCCTGCAGGGGTGTCCCAACTTAGCCCATCACAATCTCTCATGGTCAACGAAGGATATTCCTTCTCCCGAGAAGACCCGATCAGTCTCGGAATCCCGGTTACAAGACATTTCGACAATGGTAAAACAAGACCAGCAAAGCCACCCGATGTGCCGAAAAATCCCGATAGGAGTCGCACGTATCTTGTTCTTAGGGCACACCATATGGGCAAGATGTCGGGTTCGCATAGACCCTGGTTTCCCAGGGGGTGCCGGACATCGCCCAGTTTGGACCAACACTCGGAGAAGCACTGGCCCGGGGGTTGAAAATAAAGATGACCCTTGAGTCCACGGAACCCAAGGGAAAAAGGCTTAGGTGGAAAATGTTAAAACTAAGGTTGGGCCTTGCTGGAGGAGTTTTATTCAAAGAGAATTGTCAAGGGGTTCCCATAACACCCAATCGCGTAAGGAATGCAAAATCAAGGAACATAACACCGGTATGACGGAAACTAAGGCGACAAGAGTGGAACAAAACACCAGGCAAAATGCCGAGCCTTCCACCCTTTACCAAGTATATAGATGCATTAAAGTAAATAAGATATATTGTGATATCCCAACATATCCATGTTCCAACATGTAACAAACTTCAACTTCACCTGCAACTAGCAACACTATAAGAGGGGCTGAGCAAAAATGGTAACATAGCCAAACAACGGTTTGCTAGGAAGGTGGGTTAGAGGCTTGACATGGCAACATGGGAGGCATGATATAACAAGTGGTAGGTAGCACGACATAACGATAGAGCGAACAACTAGCAAGCAAAGATATAAGTAATTTCGAGGGTATGGTCATCTTGCTTGCAATGTTCTCAGAGTTGTCGAAAGCTTGATCCTCGATAGCATGCTCAACAGGTTCCTAGTTCATGTACTCGTCTCCCGGCTCTACCCAAATCAAGAACACAAGCAATGGAACAACAATCAATCATGGTGCAACGCACAAGCAACATGACGCAATACATGGCATGATATGCAAGATATGATATGCAATGCATATGCGTGCTCTGGAAGGGAAAGAATGATCAAGGCATCAACTTGGCAAACCAAGTATGCCGTTGGAAAGATGATATAATTTCGGTTAAAATCGATATAAAGATCACCGGAAACGGATGCATGGTTTGCAAATGGCAAGCAAAACAAGAATGATGCAAAACTGTGATTAACAGCATGATGGCACTTAGAATGCAACAAGAAACTAAGATACTGCACTCCAACATATCAGCAAGGCATATGGCGGTGATGTACAAGAGATGCTTGACAAAACATGAACACTGAGCTACGGCTAAATCACACTAGAGCAGGTTCAAACAAGCATGGCAAAAGTGCAAAAGATATCAACTTCACAGACTTAGTGAAAATACTTACATGTCAAAAACAACATCAGGAAGCAATGTTTAGAGCAAGCAAACAACATGCTACAGGAACATATTATAGCAACTAAAGGCATGGCATGATTCTACTAAATGCGTAGAACAAAAGTCCCTTTATGAACATGAGCCAAAAAGCACAGAAGATATGATGGCACCCATGTAAATATAGCAAGTTTTATTAACAGTTTCAGACAGTGAAATTCAGGACATGGCAGAAACATATCCATGATAGCAACTTTGCAAGCTCATGCCACTTACCACAAAGCATTACATGACAACACAAGCATACCAACAGTAAGAAGAAATGTTCATGAAGATAAACATGGAAATTGCAAGTTATAGGATGCATGGATCACTAGCAAGTTTTATTAACAATTTCAGACTTAGAAGAAAAACAGAGCATGGCATAAATAGATTTATGATAGCAACTTTGCGAGCTCATGCCACTCACCACATAGCATTGCATGACAACATAAGCATACCAATAGCAAAATGACATGTTCATGAAGTTAACCATGGCAAAAGAAAGTTAATAGGATGCATGGATCACTAGCAACAACCATGGCAATATTGATTAACATGTTAACATTCTGCCAGGAACACTTTATAGCAAACGTAGAGCAAGTAACTGGCATGCTAGAGCACTCCATAATTGCAACCAGGGGCATAGATGGATAGAGCATAACCAGATGTTCAAAACATTAGTACTGAAGTATCTCAAAATAAGCATGGATCTCACGGTAGCATCAAGTTTACATGGCATCAAAATAACAACAGGAAAATGACTTAGCAAAATCCGAAATCCCTGAAAACAGCAACATCACGGAGCCTAGTTTGCATGCTTGTGCTAGTCACCACATAGATCACAAAAATACAAGACTTGCACCCGTGTAAGTAAGGCATGTTGTAGTTCAAAACACATGTAGGCCTCATGCTCATATAATGCACATATCAAATGTAACAAAAATGACAAAACACCATGATCTGATAAGTACCAGCAGTTAATATTTTAAAGCACTCTTGCGACAATGAAAATGGCATCATAATAGATAGTAACATGCATGGAAATGCTGCTAGAATGAAGAGCTCAACGAGACAAACATTTCGACATATCATATGCATGATTTGGAGCCACGGTCACCGAGATATGACATGTTGAAGGAGGCATAAAAACATTAGGGAGTTACGGGACTTGGAGAAATTTCACCTCCGTGAAAGTCAATGTGGGACGAGGTGGTTCCGGGACGGGGAGATACGGGACGCGGGGCGGTGTTTGGTTGTTGGAGTGGGTGGATCTGGTCCCGGTTGACCAGATCCGGACGGCGGCGCACTCTGGCGAGCTCGCGACTCCAGCGAGGGCGGCAGTCGGCAGAGCCTACAACGGAGGCGCGCGGCGGCCCGAGTGGGCGGCGTGGAGCAGCGAGGAGGCGGCAGTGCAGGCGCGAGGAGGCGGCGCGGCGAGGTCGGCAGGCGGCGGCATGGCGAGGTCGTGGGTGGACGGTGGCGGCAAAGGCCACGAGTGGGCGGCGGCGGCTCTTCGGGCGCGGGCGGCGGCGATGCGCGGGCCGGGCGGGCCGGCCTCGGGCCCCGGCGGGCCGCAGGCGGACGGCGCGGAGGCAGTGGCGGCGCGGGATTGGTTGGAGGGCGGCGGCGGACACGTCCGGCGGCGGGAGGAGGAAGAAGCTAGGGTTAGACCGCGAATTTCAAAGGGATGCACATATTTATAGGTAGAAAGAGGTGGGAGTGTCCAAATGAGGTGCCCACACGATCGTGATCCGACGGCGGAGAACATGGAGATGGTTTAGATGGGTTATTGAGCTGTTTTGGAGGGGTGTTGGGCTGCAACACACAAGGGGCTTTTGCGGTTACCCGGTTAACCGTTGGGGCATCAAACGGCTTCCAAATGGAACGAAATTTGACAGGCGGTCTACCGGTGATGTACCAAGGCCACTTGACAAATCTCGGTCCATTCCGAGAACGTTTTACTCCTGCTCACGAAAAGAGACAAGAGGGGTGCACCGGTGCATGTGGGAGTGTCGGATTGCGAAACGGACAACGGGGGAAAGGTTCAGACGCATGAGACGAACACGTATGCAAATATGATGCACATGATGACATGAACAAAATGCAAAACGAAAAACAAAACCCAACCACGAAGGGAATCTCATAACTTAAAGCCAAAAATGGCAAAAGTCGGAGTTACAAATATGGCAAGTTACATCTGGGGTGTTACAATGCCGCAGCTCTGGAATTTGAGAATATGGGTGATACTATCCAACTTTCGGACCAGAATCCTGACACATTTGAGGAGTTTATTCGAATGCATCAACAAATTTAGCTACGATTTGGTCATGCGGACTTGAAAAATAAAACAAAAAAGATCGAATGCATGCAGCTACGATTGGATGGCGTCCCGCATCCGTGTCCACGGACCGATGCGGGAGGGTTGCCATTGAAGATTCCCTAAGTAATCTCAAAACAAACAATGTCAAGATTAAGGCTCTAACTTTGATTGATATTGTCGCTTTTTTAGGTACAAAGCCTTAATTTAAGCTCCTCACATGGCCCTAAACATAATTTTTACTTCTAAATAATCAAAACATCGAAGCAACCAGACACGAAGACATTCACGATCGAACATCACTAGCTCCAGTACCACAATCAAAACATTTTCCGAGTTGCATGCACGATGCATGCATGCGTAGATCGGTACATGAATTCGCTACGAGTTTTTATTTGAAGAAGAAAACTGGACAGTGTTCCAGCCAATGCATGCAGTCTCTAGCGGGCCCAAGTATCCGAAGGATACATGGAGTTAGCCTTCCTGTTCCTCCTCGGACGCCCTCCAGGCGCTGGGCCCGCCATGACGGCTTGCTCATCAGCCGACGCATTCGCCGCCGCCGTGGAGATCTTCTCTGCCTCCGCCGCCTTGCGTGCCTGGACTGAGCTGGTCGGGGCCTTCTTCTTCGTCACCACTTTCTTCTCCGCCCCCGGTTTGACGACCGTGGCGGCCACATCCTCGGCCTCCTGAGCGACCTCCGTCTCATCGGCTTGGTCGAGCGGTTTCTCCGCGTCCAGCTCGTCCTCGGTCACCGAGGCGATGGAGAGCTCCTCGACGCGCGCGCTGAGCGTGGCCACCTGCCCACGCCGCGGCATGACCTCCTTGAGGAGCATGGCGTTGAGCTCCTTCAGCTTCTTCGCCTCCGCCTCCGCATCGACCTTCTTCTCCGGCACCGGCAGTTCTGTGCCCTTGGCTGCCGGTGAAACCCCATCTGGGTCGGCTACCGGCGAGCGGCCACCGAGGGGGGCTTCAACAGCTTCGGCGACGGCGTGGTCTGCGGCCTTGGGATGCCTCCTGTTCCTGGTACCACCGGCCATGGCTTCTTGATCGATGACTTGTGCGCAAGTGCGTATCCATTCCAAGCGGCGCCCGGCCGTATTAATAGTGAGGTTCTCAGAGGCTGAGACGTGGGCCCTGAAGGGCGTCCGCATCGGAACGGCTAAGCTTCGTGGGCGCGTGGATTTCGAAAGTTTGAAAAGATGGCCGAAACGGAAGGCGTGTAAAGTGGAATGGAAGGCGATCGTCGATCTTCCGGCCGGAATTGCGCGCCTGCCGTGCGTTCCCGTGCATGGAATGGATTTCTCGATCGCCGGCCGCTGCGAGTGGCAGGTTCATGGGGATCCGGAGGCTTGTGTATTATCCACTTCCTTTTTTCTTCTGATTCTGAAATGCGGGTACGTTTTTTTTTTTGAGACAACTGAAATGCGGGTACGTGCACACCGGTGTCATCTCTTCGTATTTTCTTCGCTAACACACAAACAAATCAAGGTTTTATGCACGAGGACCAACAAACAAATGTTATGGCTTCCGAGGCCCATCAGTCTAGGCTCTTCTCAAATCGCATGCATGCACGTATTATATCTGGCCATCCGCCAGGCCAGGCCGGGCTTCGGGCCGGGCCTGACCAAGCCTGAGGTAGAAAACTCAGGCCCGAGCCTGCCCTGGCCCGGTCGTTGGGCCTACTTTTCAGGCTCAAGCCCAGCCATCCGTCGGGCTGGGCTTCGGGCCGGGCTTGACCAAACCCGAGGTAGAAATTCAGGCCTGAGCCTAGCCCGGCCGTCGGGCCAACTTTTCAGGCTCAAGCCTGGCCCGTCCATGACCATGTAGGACGGCAGGTCGCACCCCTTAGAGTGTTGGTCTGGTAGCCGGCAAGGTAGAGTAGGACATGGGACACGAGCCATCTCACAGGACTCAAGGAGCCGCCGTCTCCCATGCCCTACTCTTCCTCGTCGAAGTTCGGAACCCGTTGGGTGCCGGTGGACATCAGATCGGTGATGGATCCAACCTGGGATGAGCCGGCAACATCCACCACGACGCGGTTACGACTCCCGGACTAGTGTACCATACGGGGCGCCAGAGAATGCAACTCCGTCTCGCTGACGTCCACTGCGGTGAGTGCTTCCGCCGCGCCATGTTTGCGTCGAGGGACGCCCACGGTGCGTCCATGGCCTCGGTGCACCAACGGAGGGGTTGCGCGTCCGCCATCGCGTTTGGACGCCAGACGAACCGCACCGCATCCAGTGAGGCAGCGACGGCTGCCCTAGCACCATATCCATGTGCCATTTCGACGGACGCAATGGATTCCTGATGGAAGGAGTCTGAGCGCTGTTGTGCACGGGCCTCCTCCCGGGCGCAGCGGGGCGCAAGCCAGGCGACCATCTCCTCTTTGGGAGCTCGGGGTCGACGGATCTGGAGGTGAAGGATTCGGATCGACTGCCCGCCATGCCGGATACTGTGAGACGGCGCTGGGGACAAGTTTGGGTGGCGGATGGGAGTGGAGCGAAGTGACTAGGGTTTGGTCCGGCGAGCGGATGAGAAGAAATATATGTGGGGTCGGGTGGGTGAGTGTGGGCGGATCTGATGTGGCGGGCGTGCCCAGGTGCTTCATATTCGTCCCATATTTGGGTTGGATATGAGGGGTGCCGGTCAGCCCAGGCGTTTGATATCCATTTGAGGCACCCGTCTGGGATTTTTTTATGACCGAACAGTGACCAGTCGACCCGTTTGGGCGTATGAGACGGGTTTTAGGTGCCCGCCTTTAGAGCAACTCTAGCAGACCCCGCATCCCGTCGGCCCACAAAACATGTTTGCAGTTCGCGCAAAATCGCTTTTGCGGGCCGGCTTGGACGGCCACAGATGCAGACCCCTCAAACGGACCCGTAAAAAAGCATATTTACGGAATATGGTTTTTTACGGGTCGGCCATGTGGGGTCTGCTCTTTGCGCCGCTGCATCCCGCATCTCATCGGCCCGCAAATATCAAATCCAACATAATACAACAATTGAACGCAAAACTAAATTATTCAAATCAAACATAATACAATAATCATCCATATTACAAATAATTATTCAAATCACCATAGCAAACTTAAATAATGCAATACAAAACTTGTCATGAATACAAATACAAATGAATACAAAAATGAATCACTGTCCAGCCCTTTGCCAATGCTGCTCAATGAGATCCTCCTGAAGTTGAAAGTGGGTGCTTGCATTTTCAATCTCCTTATATGTTTGAAGAAAAGCTCTAATGCAGTTAGGGTCTCTAGCTGGTTTCACACGACTACCCACATTGTCATAGAAGAATTCCAAGTTTATTCCTCTCATCTTCAAGAATCATATTGTGTAGGATAACACAACATGTCAAAATATTTTTCAAGGTTTTCTTATCCCGAAAACAAGCAGGACCACGGACAATGGCAAACCTAGATTGCAAAACACCGAATGCTCTTCCAATGTCTTTTCGGGCTGCCTCTTGCACCCTTGCAAATTCACATTGCTTTTTAGTTTTGGATTCTTTGATACTTTTGACAAATGTGCACCAAGGAAGGTATATACCATCTGCAAGATAGTATCCCTTTGTTTATTCATGCCCATTGATAGTGTAGTTGCAAGCAGGAGCATCACCACTAGCAAGCCTAGCAAACAAATGAGACCGTTGCAACACATTGATATCATTGAGAGTGCCCGGCATACCAAAAAAGCAAGGCAAAATCCATAAATCCTCGAATGCTACGGCCTCAAGCACAATTGTTGCATCACGAGACTTGCCACAATATATTACTTGCCATGCCTTGGGCAGTTTTTCCAAGTCCAATGCATACAATCAATGCTACCTAGCATGCCAGGCCAACCTCTCCTCTCATTAGTTGTCATCAATTTCTTTGTGTCATCTTCGTTGGGTGTCCGAAGATACTCAGGACGAAAGACACGGATGATCACCTTTTGCAAATCTACGCATAGACTCAATTGAAGTATCTTCACCAATGCGAAGGTACTCATCGACATAGTCAGCCGGAACACCATATGCAATCACCCGCACTGCCGCGGAGATTTTTTGATATGCACTAAATCCCTTTAAACCCGCAGCATTTCTTCTTTGAGTAAAAAACCGGCAATTTGCCTCGCAAGCTTGAACAATTTTGACAAAGAGAGATCGGCGCATTCGGTACCTTCTCCAGAAGAGGTGCAGCGGATACGTTGAATTCTCCGCGAAGTAGTCTTGCATTAACATCTCGTTCCCAAGATGACGATTCCGGAGAATGCAAAGACGCCCGACGGTCGATCCTCACCTCCTCATCTGGTTCTCGTCATGACCAACGTTTGCTGCCGAAAATTCGCAAGCATGGTCTCAACATCCAAGTCGTCTGAATCGCCCGAATCGGAGAGCAAGAACTTCTCGCACGGGCTCAACTCCATCTGCATGCGCACCGGCGCGTCAAATTAACTAAACCTAGATTGCAAAAATCATAACAAATGCACTAACCGGTGGCGGACGTGGTAAGTGATCCCGGGTGGCGACGAGGAGGCGAGCACGACGATGGTCGATCCCCGGCGGCGGCAGCGACGAGGGCGGCTCTTCTCGCCGGATCCAGGGGGCAGTGCAGCGTCTCGGGGCGGGAGGGTGTGGGCGGCCCCGCGGACCGATTCCGCTTGCAGATTTGGCGGGAAATCGGCGGTGGCGGGCGGGCGGAAGCAAGGGCGATCGGCGACGGAAGGAGGGAGGAAAGCACGCGGGCTGAAATGTCCCTCCCGCCAACTGCTTCTCTGTGATGCAGGGCACCGCAGCCGCGAGGGGGAAACCCGTGTATTCCCGGGTTGGGGTCGGGATTTTACCGCGCCCCTCAAAAATTTTCGCGAGCCGGGATGCGGGGTCTGATCGGGCAGTTTTTTTCGCCCCTACCTACATTTTGACGGTTATTTTGCGGGTCGAGGGCGGATGTGTGGTCTGCTAGAGTTGCTCTTAGATGCTCAAATGGCCCATTCGCAGACGCCGAACCTCAAGCTCAGCAGTTAACAACTGTTGGCAGCTTTGCCTAAAAGAAAAACCATTGGCAACTAAGTTTCATCCCTATAGTCAAAGTACAAAGTATAGCGGCGAATACGTTTTTTTCTCAAAATTTATTGAAATAAAATGTGAACAAATTTCCTTAAAAATGTGAATAATGTTTTAAATCATGAACAAGTTTAGAAATTCAAAAAATCTTTTAAAACATGAACAATTTTGAAAAGTGAACAAAAAATTGATAAACATGTACACAAATTTGAAATTCTGAACAATACTGAATTTTTTATATACGTTGAACAATATTTAAATACACATTGAATATATTTTTAATGTACGTTGAACAATATTTAAATACATATTGATTTTTTTGTGATGTACGTTGAACAATATTGAAATACACATGAACCATTTTTTTGATATACTGAACAATATTTAAATATACATTGAACACTTTTGTCATATACGCTACGGTGAACAATTTTTAAAAAACATGGACACTTTCTTAAAATACTGTGAACATTTTCTTAATATATGGTGAACTTTTTATTAATACACGGGTAAACTCTTTGTATAAACACACAAAAATAGAAGAAAAAGAAAAAATAAACACAAAAAAATTCAAAAAAGGAAGAAAAAACCATAGGAAAACTAAATCTAAAAAAATAAAACTAGAAAACTAGAAACGAAAACCAAAGAAGCCAGGGGAGAAACCAAACTGGAAGAGTGGAAATTTTCGAAAAAAACATCAAAACCAGAAAGAAAAAATGAAACTTAAAATTAAAGAAGAAGAAAAAACAAGCGGGGTGACCCGCACGTTGAACCTAGAACTGGGCCGGTCCAAGTCGCAGCCCCTGTGGGCGTAACCTCACAAGCGGCAAATAGTCAGGGTGTGCAAAACCGAACCGAACCAAAATTTCAGTTTTTTTGTTCCAGTTTTAGTTCTGAAATTTGCAAACCCTTTGATATTCGTTCTTTTGGGGGGTTAAAAGCAGAAAACCAACTTGTTAAACGGAATTAACAGAAACTGAGA